CACCCACACTCATACTAGGGTCTGACGGACTGTCCCTATATGTATTTTTTTCCCAAGCCGGATCCCCATCCCATCGGGAGCAGGATCGAAGTCCCTCCTTTTATCTCGATAAGACGGGTATCCCTGTTCAAACCGGGATACGGATTGCGGAATTCCGAGTAAATACATTAATGGGTTTTAAGTCGAGATGAATTGTATTCACAAAGAATGGTAACAGCATCGAAAATCACGCAAAAATATTTTGCTGGGACCGAGATCGCGACGAGTTTCTGTTGAGTGAGAGACAGTTGGGATCAGAATAAAAACCCCAGTGCTGTTGGATCCTAAGCCACCCACATCCTCACCCGTCTAATACACTGCCGTCGGACGTTCACCAACTGATATGCTCGGTTTAAGTTCATATTTTGTTCATCACTAGTATTCATATTGTAGAGAAAACCTCCAAAGGATTCGTACTCTTATATCTTTTTTCTCGAATGAGGGGTGGTTTACTGATTTTTCAGATTATCCAAAGGGCATCATGAGGACTAATGAAAAAGGAGATTTTTACTTAAAAATTTGTCCAACAAGAAGTTACATACTCTTTAATATATCCTGCATATCTTAGCTCCCACGGACGCTTCTATTTCGAAACAATACGTTACAAAAACCATTGAGTTTCGACGACAGCTCTAGAAACAGACTTTTTTAAAAGTATTTGACATCTTAAGAAAGATTCACCTGCTTGAGCTTACGTTTTTCGGGGTATGTAAGAGACAATGTTATTTCTTGTTGGACAAATTTTTAAGTAAAAATCTCCTTTTTCATTTGCCCTCATGATGCCCTTTGTATAATCTGAAAACTCAGTAAAATGCCCCTCATTCGAGAACAGAGACCTAAGAGCACGAATCCTTCGGAGGTTTTTCTCTATATTGCGAATACTAGCGATGAATAAAACATGAGCTTAAATGGGGCATATCCGTTGATGAAGTTCAGTTTTGAGGCCACTGAGTATTTGTGCTACGCCATTAAAATCTTTGTGCAGGTTACGTTTCTTAACCTATGTAGCACTAGATGGGGATCATTTTTGACCCCGTTAGTCATAATATAACAATACAGTGAAATTTTTCACCAACTTGTAATTTTTACAGTGAGGTATGGGACGAGATTGCTTCGATGGTTTGGAGTGTAAGGTGTGTGTGAGTCATCATCTGAAGATATACGAAGCTCAAGTGGTGGAAGGAGGCTTCGGTAAGGGACAAACAGCAGTTTTGAGACTGAAGGGCCAGTTTTCAGATCAGACGAGCGGTGATAAATAAATTCACTTGTCGAGCTCATTCGTGTTTCCACATACTGCCTAACAGTGCATGGTACTACAAGAATTAACTTACATCAATGGTTATTGTCTCCGAATGTTTTTGAGTGTAAACCTTCTCGCCATAGCTTTGGAGAGAATATTTTACTGATAAAAGAAAGACACCTTATATGTTCCGTTTGCATAGGTCTTGTATGCACAGCTGAAAAAGCAAAAAGTGGATGGATTACTTTGTTTTCGTATTATTAAAACCAGTTTTATCATCAGCTGATAAGAACGAAAGCTGTGAATATACATCAGAACCAAAAGAAAATAAAGCAAAGAATAATTTTTTTTATATTTCTTTCTTCGACGATAAATAATCTATAATAACGGAGTATATCCTCTTCGCCGAAAATCACATAGTCGAAATGCAGATCGCCGAAATTCGGCGAAATACGATTCGATAATCCATAGTTTCGACGAAATACGATTCGATACTCTATAGTTTCGGTGATATACATTTCGACGAAGTGACAACCGGCGACACCGCTTTTCGCCAATCTTATATCCAATACAACAACTCGCTATTCATGTTGCCGCATAATACTATCAACTTCAGCAATATTGTAAAATTACGTCAACTATTACTATATGCATCTAGTCAGTATCATAAGTCAGAGCGATTAGTTTCCAAACAAAATAGAAATATTATTCAAAGATTAAGTTAGAAATTATCTTCCTAGCTTACGTGGGTGAGCAGGTCATATATTATTGACTATTCAGTTCAATTTTGGTATAGTCTTTACTAAACGTTAGACTGACCTGTTTAGCTGCTACAATAGGAGTGGATCACACTTCGCGATGAACACATCATCGCCGAATAGTATCCCAGTGAAATATATATATATATCTATTCCAAGACGAAGACGAGAAAGAAAGATCGAGGAAGCGACAACTAGTGAGATAGACCATAAAAGAAAATTCGGCGATCTTCCTTTTCGATGATATTTATTTCGGCGTCAGTTTCGTCGATCTGCGTCTTCGGTTATCTTGTTTTCGGCGAAGAGGTACAAAATCGATAATAACGGGTGTCCCAGAATAAATGTCCTTCTCCGTATTTTTTCAATATTTCACGGATGGAGCGTCATAGAGACCTGATACTTTTGAGGATGTGGGTGGGTGTCGATAATGAAGGAATCACTACCCACATACATCCATCCATACGCATCCACACCAACACCCACATCCGCCCACGCTCACTCATACCCACAGTCACTCACATATACGGTCACATACCCACACCCACACGCTACACAGCTGAAAAAGAAAAAGTGGATGGATTACTTTGTTTTCGTATTATTAAAACTAGTTTCATCATCAGTTGATAAGAACGAAAGCCGTGAATATACATCAGAATCAAAAAAAAAATAAAGCAAATAACAATCTATTTTGTATTTCTTTCTTCGACGATAAATAATCTATAATAACGGGTGTCCCAGAATAAATGTCCCTCTCCGTATTTTTCAATATTTCACGGACCGTACGTCATAGAGATCTGATATTTTTGAGAGTGTGGGTGAGAATCAGCTTCGATTATAGCCACACCCACTGAATATACTCACTCTCCTATCCGTTCTTTTGAGATGAGATGAAAATATATCTAATATTTTTCTTCGGATACTTTTCAGAACTAATATTTTTAATCATTGATTGAATGTCGAGAGTTAAATTTTAGATTAATCAAATATACGAATGTTATTATTATAGCACAAGAGTCGAATCAGTTCGTTGGATATAGTCATAGTCAGCTCAAGATTTAAACGCGTTGATTACAGAATGGATTATTTTAGGTCTTATCATATCAGCAACTGTTGGAATATCAGCTTGTATAATTATCCAATACCAATTAACTATCAGTGAAAAATCATTTGTTTTATGACATATTGTTGAGCCAGCATAAAATATTGCACTACTGATAAGTTGACGATGTGGATGTGAACGATGGCATCTTATCTTTCACAATTACATCCTCACCCACTAATAATTAATTGTTGATATAAATGCAATAGCATTATCAACAGGTTCAACCAATGATAAATGAACAGTATCTGTTATATTTTTATCAAACCGCCTTCCACCATAATATTCAGCATTAAATGTTTTGTCGTCATTGTAAAGATAAATAGAAATAAACATATATTAATGATGAGTATAAGATATTGTTTATATTTATTTAATTCTTATTTGTATACCAGTAGCGTATGCAGGTGATGGTAGATCAATAATTAATTGTAGAGAAAAAAAATGAAATACAAGAAAATAAAAGATTATTCAACGAACTTCTATAATATCTGTTGTTAGTGGATCAGTAAATTCACTACATTTAGTATAAGCAAATTTGAATATTTCAATAAGACGATGATAAACTAAAACAATTGTTGTTGATTCTTCTAAATTATTACCGGAAAAATGATAACCTTGTAAAATATTTAAAATAAAAGTAAAGATTGGTCCACTTGATAGAGCATATATTGTGAATGCTGTTATTGAATCATTATGTTCAATACAATGTGTTTCACGAAAATCAATATCATAATTTTTTAGATCTTTAGTATTAATACTATCTATAAATATTTCAATGTGAATCTTTAATAAATAGTCCTCTAAATGAAAATAAAATTTAATTTCAAATATTTCTTAATTAAATAATTAAGTTCATTGTAGAATCATTAACAATTATTTGTTAATTTTATTGAATTGCACTTCCTAATGCTGAATTTTTGATTGAAAAACATTACTTCGAGGAACTTCACTATCAAATTCTTTCAATGCTTTACGATAAGCGCGTGATTCACCTGATTGATATATTTATATTAGCTGCTAATTGTACTTAGGTTCTTGCTATAAAATAAACAAAAACAAATTCAATAATTTGATAAACTTACTTCAATAAGACTATAAGCTTTTCCTTTTGTGCCTCTAAAAAAAATGATTTTTAAATAGATTGCATTATCAAAAGCGACTGCTGCTCGATCATATTTAGATGAAATATCAATCTTATAAGTTTCATGAATAATATTTTGTATTATAAAATCTTAATTAAAGAACAAAAAAGAATCATGAGTATTCAAATGTTTTCAACAAGATTATATAATCATTTTATTTTTATTGATTATAATTTAAAATTCTATCGATATTTATATTCCTGTAATTAATATAGAAATTATTTTATTATAATGTTGATCGAAGATAAGAGTGAAAATAAAATCGAACGTATTGACCTTTTTAATATAAGAAGAAAGAAATAGTCTCGATAAATCATATATATATATATGATTTCGTTTATCGCTAACATACACCATTCTTTTCTTTGTAAAACACGTGCCTTTATTCACATAGAGACATATATTCATCGAATATACATTTAATTTATTCTTAAATTTAAAATGTCTTCATCTAATGAACAAGGTACAAGAGGTTTATCAGGAAATAAAGAACCATCAACTGGTCAAATTGAACAAAAATTAAATGATAATCAACCACAGCAAAGTATTTTTTATTGAAAATTATTTTAAATTATTCATTTTATTTTATTTAAGAAAATGATTCTATAGGATCATCTGGTCAAGATACAAGTGGATTATCAAATCAAGGCAATGCTTCACGTGCTGCTGGACATAGTAATCAACATTAATCATTTATTATATATTCTTATGAACTTATCTTAATAAACTTATTTAAAAAATAATTCATTTTTTTGAAAGTATCAATATATATATGGATTAAATAAAACAAAATAAGCAAAAAAAGAAATAAAGGTGAATGATGAGATGTATTTAAATATCCTGATAATAACGAAATAATAAGAGGTTGATTATGTTCATTATAAGATTTTTTTTTTGTTGAAATTATTGATCGTCGACGTGCTTTTCCAAATATAATAAATAAAGAAGAAAAGAGATTAAAAATAACTATTCCAACATTTGACGATAGAATGGGTTCATGAATCAATGTCCCAATAATACATAATGATTAAATAATTCTTATCCATTGACTTATTTGTTTACTTTTCTTTTTATTAAATTTCATACCGTTTAAAACATAGAAAGAAATTCCATAGATTTACAACCATCATTAAGAATCGATAAATCAATATTTATATTCATTTATGTCAATACTGTAAATCAGCATTTGATAATAAACATTGAAATAGTAAGAATTAAAATAACTGATGAAATAAAAAGATATAATCCTCATCCTATTTGATGTCATAGCACTACTCATTTATCTTCATGTTCATTTTTTGCTAATGAAGAAGATAGTGTAAACTTGATTAATAAAATTTATATATATTATACTACTACAAAATACGAAAAAAGAATTTATCGAGTTTAAAAGTTTTATTTTTCTATTTTTTTTCAAAAATACCTCTGTCCTAAAAGGATTAATGTGAGAGAGTTGATTGTTGTATTTTTCTTTTTGTATTTATTACAAGTAACGATAGTCGCATACACGAAGAGAATGAATCATGGCCTATAGACTCTTTTTCTTTAAGATGGGTAGTAAACAATCGATGCATCAGTGATCACTACAATAAAATATGTGCGTCCTTCATCTTGTTTTTTGTTAGTATACATAGGTAGTGCATTTATTCATTTTCGATTGTCTGTGGATATTATTTACCAGTAATTTCTATTGTATTGCATCTATTTCTTTTTGTGATAGCCGCTAGAGTGGTGAGAAATCAAGTAGATAAAATAGACTCATTTTCGGGTATGGATGTGAATCTTCTTCAATTGTACCCCTGCCCACACATACACCGTATGCTGTTGCGTTCTTTTACATATGCCTTAATAAGAATTTTCGGTGCTCCTGTTACGACAGTGTTCTGTTATACACTTTTAAACTATACTTCACCAAATATATTATGAATAAAAAAAGAAAAAAAAAATGATTCTGTGCTCTTGTTTGAAGTGAGGTAGGCAAATATTCATTCATTTTTTCTAATCAACGTTACTACTTCCAAATGCGTATAGTAAAAGAAAAAAAACATTTATTTTTCTTCATTTCTTTTATTATTTTTATTTTGTTGCAAAGAGCAAGAAGAAATAACAAATCAATACATTAACAATTATTTCCTTCTATTTTACATTTCTGCATTAAAACCGATTATGGCTGATATAAATTCCGCTGAAAACCTATCCGATAAAGATATTTTGGGTAAGTCGTTTATATTTCCACGTCTTTCACACTTTCAAAAAGAGCTAGTTAGACCATCACTCAAGTTTTACAAAGTGAAAAGTTTTTACGCTAAAATGAAAGAATATTGCTATAAAACTAAAGCATATCTTAGTAATATTCTATTAGAAATCAGAGTAAACAACTACATCGATTCAGATTATTTTGATCAGAAAAATATACACCTGAATGAGCAGTATACGTCATTTTTTGTGAAAAACTTCTCTCTGTACTACACTATTTCATTCTTTAAAATGAGAATATCGTTTAAAGAATACCTACCTTATATTATAATGTTTCCAAATATTTTAGTTGACCAACTAATAAGTAATGGATCAACTAAATGGAAACAAGTTGGAATTATAGTGGCAGGTGATAAAAAAGAAGCAGAAGGCGAAGGTGTTGATCAACTAAATACTCCAAATAATCTTGCATTCGACAATAAATATCAAAGTCTTTATGTGAGTGACTATACAAATGGTCGTATTCAACGCTTTTCAGTTAATGGCAAAGATGATCGTACTGGCGTTACAGTATTAAAATTAAATGATCTTGATGTGTAAGACTGAGATGCTCTTAAAATTTTTCTTCTAACCACTTACAATACAGCAGTAGATGAGAAAACAAATGAGTAAGTTTAAGCAATGAGTGTGAGAAATAAAAGGCAAACGAAAATGGACAGATTCTTTATACATTTAAATATGTACAGGAGATTATTTATTCTACTTTTTACGCACAAAAAGTTATGTCATTTTTTAATCAGACCTGGTCTTGGAAATTTGACTTTATTTCTATCATTTTTACATCATAAAGAAAGAATATCTGAAACAATAAGTTGTATACTGTTATTAAGTAAAGACCTAATTGTAATCATAGAACAGTCTTCATATTATTTTTACTATATATTTAGACCCCCTGAATTGGCTTTAGGTAAGAAGGGAAACAATCCAAACGCATTATTTATTGATAAAAATGATAACATATATGTTTCTGAACATCAACCTCCATGTCGTGTATTGAAATTATCACCAAATGGCACCTTAACAACAGTGATTGAATCCGGCGATAGTACTTTTCGATGTTGTTCGGGATTATATGTTGATGAAAATGGAAATATTTATGTGGCAGATTGGGAAGAATCTACAGTGTGGAAATTTGATAAAAATGGAAAGAAACGCGAGATAGTAGCCGGCGGTAATGGTTACGGCAACCAATCAGATCAATTATCTCATCCAAAGGGTATTTTTGTTGCCGAGAAAACTGGCAATATTTACGTTGTTGATGTTTACAATCGTCGTGTCCAACGCTGGTCACCTAGCAGCAAAGTAGGCGAAACTGTATGTGGTGGAAATGATGAAGGAGATGATTTAAATCAGTTCGAATATCCATGGTCGGTTTTTGTTGATGGTAATGAGAAACAAATTTATGTATGTGATCCTTACAATGGTCGCGTTGTTCGATGGTCAGCAGGTGCAGAACAAGGTGAATTCATCGTGGGTAATAACAGCAAAAATGCTAATCCAACTGAACTTCCTTTTTTCGCTGCAATCAAGTTCGATCAAAATGGAAATATGTATGTTGCAGATAGTAAGAAAAATCAAATTCGAAAGTATTTGATTGACAATTAAGCTTACATCGAACATTAACTTTTTCAACAACACTATTTTCGCGTTCTATATTTCTTTTGATTAAATTTAAATGATACTATCTAGTAGTGTGGGTGAGCGTGTCGTTGAAGACGGATATAGGCGCGTGGAATTCGTGAGTGATGCCCACAAGACAGTTACTTCCAACAACACTTGCTTCTCACATTTGCTCTTCAATAAAATCAAACAGAATTCTTATGAATTACAAGAACAATTTATATATTTAGGGTGTGAGTGTGGGTATACACATGGAATGAAAACAAGATTCACATGTGCCCCTTACTCACAAACATATCCACACCCTCAATAATCTATCTTGAGAGTGTGACTCCTTATAGTAAAAATTCAAATAGGTATTGTGTTTTCCATTAATAGCCGTAGGTGCCGGTACTAGGTGAAAATAGTATCCGTATCCTTATTCACACCCACCCTCAAGAGCGATGAATGTTACTTGTTTTTAAATGTTTTATTTAGTAAGGAAAAGATTGAAAACTACACATCATCATAAAAGTTATCAAAAATTAGGATTGATTGTCATCACATTGACATAATTTAGAATCAGCTTCACCAGCATGATCATGACAATAATCAGAACCGCGATCAGCATAAAATTCAGATTCATAAACAACACGAGGATAAGCAAGGTAACGGCGGCGAGTGCAAGTAGCATCATTACGTTTCGTATAACTTTTTTTATGTTTATCCTGGCACCAGTACCAATCACGACAATGACCGCACTTGATGCAAGCACGTCCTTTGCATTGAAGCTTCTTGGTAGAATATACTGAGTTATTTTTTGGTGTGGTGACTTGCACTTTTTCTAAACAAAGAATTTCGATTTATTAGAAAAAAAGCTAGCGTATTTTCTCTCTCCTCAGTATATAAGTCAGGCTACTAGCTTACCGCTTTTCTCAGCCAAAATAGACGTTGCATTTTTAGTGGATAATTGTGCAGATGACTTCGATGGGACATTCGTTGATGAATTTTTTTCTTGTTTTTTTTTGTGAGCTTGATGTAGACGACGATGGCTGTGGTTGTGGTAAGGCTTTCTTTAATTCACTAAGATCGAAAGGATCTGCAAGCATCTTATATGGCGGCGAAATTTCTCGTAGATGAATAATATTCAAACCATCAGCCGAACTGAACTTGTCAATCACTTCAAGATATATACCTGGAGGAAGAAGAATTTCGTCTTCATGCTTAAAATATGAATGCGGTCGAATGAGTCTGCCACTATTAGTCTCAATAGAGAACATTGTTCGTGCGCCTGAAGTTCCGGCATATTGTGAGGACTCGAGTACACTAATTGATGAACTGCAAGAGCTTACTCCCCACCAAGTGAATTGTTTTCCCTAGGGATAAAGAGAACTGAGATCTTCAGGGATACCACGCCAAACAGTTCCATATTTTGACGGCCTAAAATAAAATCATATCATATCATATAATTGTACATATTTTTTTTACTTACGGTAATCTGAAGAATGCTGTAAGAAACAACTTTAAATATCTGAACCATGGCTGAAGTTTTCTACGATCAGCCAGGCGTAAAGTTCGATTGAGCATTGCGTAAAGACTATTGTCATGCACCTTCCATTCCATAGTGTATAAATGAATAGAAGCAGACTCATCTTGACTGAGTTCATCTTCTGGTTCCGTCGAATTCATCTTCGCAATCATAATATTCTGTTGCAGTTCTTTATCAATTATTTTTTCCAATGGCTTGCAGGCCTCTTCAAGAGACAAGAGTGGCTCATCTTCATATCCAGATATTGGTTGAAGCAGTTGCTTTGGTTCATCCTGAATGCCTTCTTTCAGGCGTGGATTGACGTCAATGAATGTAGCCATATGTGTATGTGCGTGTGCGTTTTAACTGAAACTCAAAACGGTATTCTGCTGTATGAAAAGTATGTTGCAAGAAGGATTGAGTGAGTTGCGTAAACAAATGACAAAATATTATTGATGAAATAAAAACTCTATTTATATTTCTTTTTCGGTTCTCTATATAAAATTGCTGTCATCACTACTTGCTTATGTGCGTACTGTCATAGGCAAACAAACAGTATAGATGAAAATTATGCACGTTGTGTATAGAATGTTTTTTTTTACATGACAGAAAATTGGAGAACAAACAACGTAGTACATAATTCTATTTTAAAAAGTATACAAATGAATAATAGATAGGATTATGACAGTTTTAGTTCACTTGAACTGAACTGAGGGTGTTAGTATGAGTTTCTTTTACTTTTTTCCTCACACACACCCTCATGAATTCATTGTTTTAATTTGTCCTTTGCTAGTTTGAATAAAACTTCAAAATGTTCTAGTTTCATAATCTATTTTCGAAAAACAAATACGCTTTAACAAATATTTTGTTTTGTGTTTCGATTATTGAAGAACAACATAACTAGCAGTTGATCTTCTTTTCAATGTCAAAATTCATTATTTTAAACGATGCCACTTGAACTTGGAAGATTTGTGCAACAAGCGGAAAGAAATCTGCAGGCTACACGATGTCGTCCAATATCATCAAAAATGCCTTGTCTTTGCACTACGATATCTGAATTGTGTGATTTAACAATTCGAAATACGGCTTCAGCTCCATCTGCAGGCCAATTCGGATGAAATTGAATGCCCCACACTGGAAGACCTAAGAGTTGGAATCCTTGATATTTCCATTTAATAGCCGATGCTTGATGTACAAAACACGTTTCTTTCATTAATGATCCTACCTGAACTGAAAATTTCTTGTGCTCATCCGGCAAAATAAATCCATCAGATTGTGCAATCGAAGAAATCAAAGGTTCATCTACCATATTATTCAGCAACGAAAAACAATGGTTTGTATCACCATGAGTAAGAGATTGTATACGAATGGAGCCAATATGTGGTTCTGGTAAACATGTGACATTCTCTTTTCCTGCAAGCCAACGAACTAACATTTGAGCACTATAACATATAGTAAGGAGAGGAATCCCTAAAAGAATAACCGTTTTGAAGAATTTAAAGAGTGATTCCGTATGGGGATAATCCTCCACACACGAGTAAGTTGATCCCGTTGTTACAACACCCAAACAATCTTTCAACTCGGTCTCATTTGGCCAACAAGCATCGATACCTTGAAAAATTCGCGTTTCAATATTTGGATTGCTATTCTTAAGCCACTCGCTTGTCCACTGTGCTTCATTGACATTTTCCATAGATGGAAGCAAGTCAATAATGAGAATGAGTTCACGTCGACGAACAACAGCAGATGATACATCAGAACTCATGGCAAGACGAAAACAATTGAAAGCTGTAAGAACAATCCGAAAAAGTAAAAGAATAAAAGATAAGATAAGAGTTTACCATCATCAACAATAGAATAAAATGTGTTAAAACACCATGCTTATAAACATATTTCATTCGACAATTCTTATCTATCTCAATATTTGTGGCAAACATTTCATTATTGCTCTATGAGCCAATGTTACTATAGATAAGAAAAGAAAGAAAAATGACGCATACAACGTGATTACTTTCTATTCATTGTGTTGTTTTTTTTTTTCAAATAAGACAAAACAAAAATGGAATCAGAATCTGCGATACCAGATTACATTGCTGCACATAAACATTGTAAAAATCATCGAACAGAAATTGAAAACAGCGAATTATGTGGATGTTTCTACTGTCTATCTATTTTCCCACCAAATGAAATCGATGATTGGTGTAATGACGGAGCAACGGCTGTTTGCAAATGTTCGATTGATTCTATAATTGGCTCTGCTTCTGGTTATCCAATTACCAAAGAATTTTTACTTCTTATGAAAAATAATTGGTTTGGAAATGCTTAGTTTTAAGTTGTAGAATAAAAGAACTTTGATAAAGAAAATAGAAAAGCGTCTTTTTAGGATATTTATTTTGATTGATAATAATTAAGAAAATGAATCTGTGTTATTATTCAGAATAATATATGTAATCATAAGTTAAACTCTTATCAAAGAATATACTTATATTAAAACTCAATGATAAAATAACGAGTTTTTTTGATAATCATAGAGAAGACGTTCCATACATCTAACGTATCGTCTCAATGGTTTGATATTTATATCTATTGCACGTTATCTTATAAATAAAATTCAGTGGACGAATAGATTAAATCTTGGGTGTGGGTGTGAGCTAAGAAAAGAGATACCCACCCGCACCCGAAATAATCTTTTCAATTCTTCTAATCTCCATTGTATAAGCATTTATTCTAATGAATTAATATTCTTGTTCAGTTCTATGCAAAGTTCGAATCGTTTGGAAAAAGTTCTAACTCAAATTCTTTCATCTTTTATTGATCAAACAAAAAAGAAATGTAAATGAATAAATAAAATTGTGAAATGAAGAAGATACTTGGCGAACAACGTGAAAATAGACAAAAAATAAGGTGATCATCAAGTAATATGTTTACAATACAACAAATAATAAGAAGAAGAATAAACGTTTGTTGTGAGTTCTAATTTAGAGTTTGAGAAATTTCTGAACACGCGCGTTCTGATTATCACCAATATACATATTCATTTTTGCATCGAATGCAATGCCATATGGTTGATTGAATTGTTGTGGACCATTGCCACTTGAACCACCCGCTATCGTGATCCCGATTTGACTATTGGCACAGAACATCTGTATTCTATTATTGCCTCTATCAACAACATACATATTCAAATAACTATCAATTTTAATACCCACTGGGCCATATAAGAGAGTAGAAGTGGAACCTGGTACATTTGGTGTACCTGGGGACGTTGCGAGTATTACGTTATCCGGTTTTTGCCCATTTTGACCCTCTCGCCTCCTCGAAATATTCAAATGTCAATTAGCTGGGATTTCTCCCTCTCCTGGTTACGTTATCACTACGAATTTTTCCATGATAGATAAATCTGTTGAACAGTCGAAAATCTGTATACGTCATCCTTGTGCGACCTCTTCCTTCCCTACAGTAACCAGCTGTCACTATTGACTGATGCCTCCTCTCCTTAAACTTGATAACGCAATACTTGTATCGCCCTCTGCCACAAAAACACCTGATGGAGCACCTGGTGTCCAACGTATCACTGAATGTCCATCATTGTTTGTTATAAACAGATCAGTACTTACAGATGGTAAATAATGAACACCAAAGGGAGAATTTAATGATGTGTTCGTGTTGTTTGGTCCATTTCCACCAGCTATAATTGTACCACTGACGCCTGAAGTTGAATTCGTCGGAAAGCGAATAATACGCTCATTATCATGATCAACGATATACATGTATGTATCTGTTGAATCAAAAGTAAACATTAGAGGAAGATTCAATTGGTTTAATGCAGATCCGCGTGTATTAGTTATACCAGCAATAGTTTTTCCAATTGTTGATCCGTTTTGATACTTTTGCACACGGTGATTGTACCAATCGCTTACATATACATTTCCATGTCTGTCAGTATAAACATCTTGAGGCCAATTAAGTTGAGTGCTACTAGTTCCCGATGTCTGGTACGTTCCAGCTACAATCGTTGCATTCACGGCATTGCTCAATAATTTCCATATAACATGATTATTCACATCCGCAACATACAAAGTATTGTTTAAGTCAACATATATACCCGCGGCTGATATTAATTGTGATGAATTGAGTACAGTGATTCCTGTAGTATTCCAAAGCAAATTTCCAGATGCACCTGACAATGATAAAAATAAAAACTTAACAATACAGTATTCATTGACATTTCTAAAGATGCCTGTATGAAACTAATTTCAATCAGAATATTTCGCTTTCTCAAATAAACAACTATATCAATACTCATTATCCTAAGAAAAAATTCTTGAAACAATTACGAAACGTCTCTTCTTATATGGTAGACATCAGCTAACAGAGAATTCTATTTAATAAATAGAGTTTCTCTATAAGGGTCGTTCTTTAAAACATTCGTACATCTTTATATAGATGAGAAAGAAATTCCAAGATATTTCCAAAAATTTATTCATTTCACATTATACTTTCAGTTACTTCCGATAGATAATCGATACAATTTATTTTTACTCACATGGATTTAATGATGGAGTTGTTGTTGTAGTGCTTGTTCTGTAGAAATAAACAATAATATTGACAAAAAAATCTCTTAGAGTCACCTTTGTAGGATTAAAATATAAAACACGATAAATCACTCTTATTAGTAGACGACGGGATTTAGTACATTTTGGTCTATGAGCTTATCGCTTTCGTTCATTGTCATTCGTTGAAAAAATCAATACAATGGAGTTGAGGGTGTGGGTGTGATTGATTTCTCTTAAATCTCAGATCCACACCATCTATGCATTTTAACCTGTATCTTGATGAAACCTTGCGAAATATTCCGAATTGATTTCTGGCAAACACAAGAACTCAACTAGTGTATAACTTTTGTGTTATCTGTATGTCGACTGTGATAAATTTATCTTAGATGTATTTAACTATGTCACACATCAGAGACTCGACCAGTTCAGAGCACAGAACATCGTTTAGGTCACGATCGATTGTTTTAAAAATTTTCAATGACTGACTAAACTGCAAATGGACTTACGTGGATTGTGTTGTCGTGGTCGTCACAGCTAGGAAAAAGGATAAACATATTTAAACATTGTAAAGATAAGAAAAAAGAAAAATTTCTCTATTAAATATATGGTGATGAGATTTTCTTCTCTGATTTCATCGTTATTAATCTGTCTTAGTTTTAGTATTCAAATTCTCAACATAAGGAGGGAAATAAAAACCATGTCATGTTTCTACTTACAATCAATTAATTGTCTGTCATCTATGGTGGTCATGGTTGTAACACCTGCTTGTGCTAACAGATTCCCATATTGACTTGGAATATCAGAAAATAATTCACACTGATTACTGTTTTCATCAAAAGTAAATGTACGACATTGTGCATCAGCTAAACAAGTGAATTGACAGTTTCTCAAGCTCGGCTCAGGAACGATGATAGAAGATGAACATCCGGGGTTGCTACATTGATATTTAATATTTATGAATACTGATAACCTCATTGACCGTATGTCTTGAGAAGCAGACTGTGTGATAATCGAGAATAGAAACAACAGTTTTGTGTTTGTCATCTTGGAAAAGTATTTAAACTGTAGGTAAGTAATTTACTCTAGAGAAGAAATGAAAATAACATTAAAAAGAAAAAAAGAAAAAAGCATCTGCACCAATAGGACACGGACTCTTCAGACAAAGCCGAGCTCAGCTTTTCACAGATTACAGAAGTCGATCAGAAGTTTTTGGAGAAGTTTCCTGATATATACGAAATATGATGAAAATTCTTATTTGGAAAAATTGCGAGGCGTATGTTATTGATTTGATTATCTTCTATGGTCTCTTTCTACTACATTTTTTGACTTTAAAATAAACTAAAAACTGAGAAAGCGTGTTCATCCTATCTTTTATCTAGAACGATGATCTCCCTTCCTCCCATTGTTCGGTTACTCTGTTATTGTGTTCAGTGTTAGACGAAACAAGAGTTGTACAGAAAATCTATTGAACTCTATCAGAATAACTGGCACTCTAGTCAATACGAATGTAACAAATAACTGGGTACTGCATACTATAGAAACACATTACTCAAGTATGCACAAAGTACTTTCAGCAAGGTACTGTGACTAGAATGAGGCATACAATGTAAAAAAAACACGAAAAGAGTCTGATTTTAATCGATTTCAATCTAGTATATCGTGTACTTTTTCCTTAGATGTGTCAGTATCAAGTAATATTGTATCTTGAGGGTTCGCATATATATATCATGGGTTGGTCAAGCGTCATACTCACCAGCTGTTGAGTTGAGGAGTCCAAAAGAGAATAAAAAGCTCGGAGACTTACGTGGTGGATCAGCGTAAAATACAAAAGATGACTCACTGAAAACTCAATCATTATATAAACAAAACATCAGAACTTCTATCATATATCTATCTGCAGTCATATTAGGATAAACTATTTTATAATTTTTGATCTGGAAATACTGATGGAAGCATGCTATGTCTAATTCGATTTATAATATGACCGCACTTTCAGAAGATTCTTATCATTTCAGAAATAACTAATAAAATTAATCAATACATCAAATTATATCATTTGTAACTTCTATAAATGAAGCCAGCGTTACTGTAAGTTAGGAAAACAATAAAACATCTTCTTTCTGTTTCTCATTATATAAAAGTGATGAATGAACAATTTACTGTAACTTAGTAAAACAATAGAAAGTTTTTTTTACTTATGATTCGATGAAAGTGGTAGATAGATAGTGAAGTATAAGTTAGAAGAAGAATAAAAAGGTTTTTTCTATTTATGATTCGATGAAAGTGGTGAATGAAAAATGAAGTATAAGTTAGAAGCAGAATAAAAAGGTTTTTTCTATTTATTATTCTATGGAATTGATAAATGAATAGTGATTGACCAACATTTACACGCTGACATTTACGTGCACGACGGTTGTGAATATAGACACTAGCGTGCGAATTCAAGAAAAAGACGATAAACTATTTTTTTTCTTAAATTTTATTTGAATTATGAACGAGTGTGGGTGTGAGAAAAAAGAGAATACAACACCCACACCCTTCTCCTTCAGCCGAGATAATATTGTATTGTTCTTGGCAAATTAAAGACACTTTTTTTTATAATATCTGAATGTGTGAACATGCCTATGCTTCATCTAGATAATAGCGAAGAAAATGCGTTGCTGATATCTAACTGATTGGACAGACAAATATAGATACATTTTATAATGATACATCCTTTCTTAAAAAAAAAATAAATATTTAACTAATGAACAATAAAAGCAGCATTTATTATTAATGGCATAACTTGAGTTCTTTTTTGACAAAAAAAATGCTTCAACATATTTCGAATTTCTCGATCGAGATATATTAAAACTAATTTTTCCATTATTACAGCAAATGTAACAGAAATAACACCCACTGAATAAAAGAATTCAATATCTGTAAACATATAGATTATGATTGGAACTCCTCCAAGAAAATAGACACTGAATGATATCATTATATTACGAAATATGATAAAATCACGATCATTTCTTTTTATACTACGTTGTATTGTAGTATTTTTTCCACTATAATAAACTGGAATATATATAAAAAGATTAATTACAATAATCAATAGAATTGGTATGACATAGTATGCAGCAATAATGTAATAAGTATGTAATTTATACGTTTTTGTTACCCAACAAAGTTCACCTTCACGAAAAAATATGTCATGTGTTAGAATTGCTGGCGATGGAACAACTAAAATAATAATCCATCCAATAAAAATCAAATATAGATGTGTTCTCAATGTAATTAACCATCGATATTTAGTATACAAAATAATAAAAAATAATCTTGATATAACTTGTAATACGTAAGAGTAAAGAAAAGCAATCATAGACATGTATCCAAAATAGCCACGCCATCGGCATGACCGATCACTTTTATCCCATGTTATCACTAAGAGATAACTATAATTAACACATTGAACAGTACAATATAATAATGATGCTAAACATGTATTACAAGTTAACAGACGAGTAACTGTATGGAATTGTTTTGTTAATAAAACAATTATTAATATAATTGAAGTAATGATTATTGCAATTATGGCGAAAATCATGGACACAGGAGCAATAATACTGTAATCTGTTCGATGATTTGCTATTTCACTGGTTGAAGAATTCATTTTAAAATAGTAACGAGATAAGTTCAGCTATTTTTCTTCTTTACCTTTATATATATATCACAGAAAAATCTACATAAGAATTTGTCTTGATAAAATTATACAAATAGTAAAACATCAGAAAAAAAAGAAAAGATTTTTATAATTATTAACACATATATAAATAAAAATAGAGATAAAACCATTACTTATTATGATAATAAGTGTTTTTTTCTCTTTTTACACTTATTAAGAAGAAAAAATATTAAATTTCTGCTTGAATTATTAACAGTACTTACTAAAAGGTGACTGAGGGTATGAGTACTCATTTTCATTTTACACCTATATTTTTTAGATATGCTATTGGTTTTTACTCCAATTCTATGTTTTTTCATAAAATATGGTGAAATACTTTGATGAGTCGTAAATGCACGAATGCATTATTAAGATTTAATAGCTAGCTTATAATTAGCGAGTATATATTTTTTTAGATCTTTGTTTGATGGATCAGGAGCGAAAAAGAATTAGCAATGATCGTGTTGTAAAAAATAAAATGTGAGTATAATAAATAAATTACGACTGTGAAATCTTATAAAAATAATTTATAGTCAAGATAATACAATAACTGTTCTTGCTTTTTTCTAATTTGATTCACTTGATAACTTCTTTGTTCTTTAAAAAGTTTGCATAATAACGATATAAAGAATATTTTATCTATAGTTTTAGTCGAAATAACACTTCTTTTGAAATATTTATTAATTCCACTTGATGAATGATATTCGAACGCATTTTATACAAAATAAAGTCATCAATAATCTTTTTTCAAAGCAGAATATACGTGCTTACGAAGAAGAAATGAATATTAACAAATACTTTTATTTGCAAAAATGCGTTATATTTATGTATTTAACATCTAAGTCAAATCACATGTCAATTTACTTTCATCTAATAGAGTATACTTGTTCTATCACAACATATCAACAATTGACTTTTCTCTGGATTTTTTAAGATAAATACAATATGAAGTTTTTATCTGATATTTTCACAAAGTGAATAAAAATATTCTTATCGGTGGGATTATTATATTATAAAAAGAAACTCAACCGAGTCTATGTTGGCAGGAACGCTCAGCATCAATGTCAGTGCCGATTTTCTTCGCATATATTTCAACGAATGTCTCATTTATAATTATACAATCAGGCGAGGGTGTAGGTATTAGTCATCTCCTCATCCACGCACACATCCACACTTCGAGACACACATGAGACTGTTTCCTTGTTAGTGTCATTGGCACAGAGAACGGTTTTATTTTTTTCAAAAGCTACAGGTAACTTATATTACACAAGATATATTAAAGTTTTACATTTGCCGTTGAGATTGTTTCAAACGTGAAATACGTGCTTGCCAAATAATAATAGTAAGAGGGAAAAATACTTCTGCACACGTCGTATATAACGAGAGCAAGTTGATTCCAGTTCCTGCTACGAACATGGCCCAAAGACGACCTATGACGCCGAATAATGGAAGACTGCAGCACACGCGTAGCTTTGTTGTTTCTTCTTCAATTCGTCCGACTGTGCTGAGCATAAAAAAACCATAACCAAATAGACATCCAGACATATATCGAAAATGATTATCCAAGTCTGTCGCTAATAAATGACCCAACTTCGTGTCTAACATGGTAGGACCTCGAAAAATACCAACTAAACCGGTCATCATAGGAAAAACGGCAGTGAATACAACGACAAATTGAAGAGCGCGTCGTTCTCGCACATGTTGTATTTGATTCGGCATGTGTACAAGTGTGTGTGCGCATAAATGCTTCTTTTTTTCTTTCCTTTCTTTTTCGTACCTTTTGAATGAAAGAACAGTATTTTCGCATAGTAACCATTACAAAACGCAAGCGACCGCTACCAATGCACAGATAATTACATGATAAATGGTCTTGTTTAGTAACAGAAACTATTCTAAAAAATCTCTTCGTTGTTGAAAATATACATTTATTTATCTCTGATGATATTTTTCGTTGTTGTTTGAAGTAATAGTATTTGGAAAGCTGTTAGCGCCATCTATACGCGATCAAAATGTGAAACGTGGGTGTGGGTATGGGTGGTTGTGTGATGGATATAGAACTCATACTCACACCCACACCCTTTATTTGAGAAAATGTAAGAAGAAAATAAAAGTCAGTATCGGTGGAATAAATGAAATAAAATATTCAATAAGATATGTAATCATGAATTACTTGCTGATTTCATACATTTCGATAGATAAGATATTATTAGACGTGATACTATTGCTTTAGGTGGACAAGGCTCGGAAGTAAGATTTGCCATTGTTATAGGATGCACTTTGAAGAAACATGTTGTTAAAAGATAAAGTTACTCTACACAAGATTTATTATTATGCTATCGGGTGTGGGTCACAGTACATGATCAATATCTCATCCAAACCCACACAATTCAAGACTTTCTTTCGTAATGGAAGATCTTATCTATACGATATTTCTTTAATTCGAATGCTTGAAAACAATCCTCGTTCAAGGCACTTTTTTGAGTGATATTTTACAACACAACGTTACATTACAGTACAATAGCAAACATAATATATAATATATCGTCATGTTTGTGGCTGTATTTGATTATTATTTACATTGCCAGGACGAAGTCGATCATGATAAATTGTAAATAAAACATGAATGAATTGTTGACGAAATCGTTTCGATGCACATATATAGATGTAAAATGAACTCTAAAAAATATAAAAATCTATAGTTTGTATAATGATGTTTTTTTAAGCAATTTAATATTCACCACAAAATGAAAATTATTCATAATAGTAGTTACACTACCAAGTAAATTCAATTGTGCTGAAATAAGTGGATCATTTGGAGTGTTATAAACAGCTCTAAATATACTCTGAATAACTAATGGTGAAACAGCGATAACATCGAAAATGACTTGTACAAGAACCATTACTGTCAATTGTTTATCTAATTCCCGTCTGACTAATGGAATAGTTCGATAAGCTATCTGTTGGATATTTCGATATGATAATATTCCAAATAAGATGATAATTGTCATGGGTAATACACCTATGAGAATACATGAATGAAAAAAATTTATATATTTTTGAAAAATGGCATTAATGACGACACAGTTGGGTAGACCTGTTATAGATGATACAGTATAACCGTAATATAATATAAATGGGATACCATGAAGTATCCAACATATAATTGTTCCCGCCAATATATAACGAGCTAATTTAATATTATTCCATTGATGCCATCGAGGATTAGAGCAAGTTGCCATGAATTGATCAATAATTGCCAAACACATACATGAAAAAGATGTTAATACACAAAATTGAACATAAAATGCACGAAATTTACAATAAATTATTGACATATTTAACCAATTAATTTTAAATCCATTAATCATGATATAAGTGAAAGTACCAGTGAATAAATGACAAATATTAATCGTTGACATGGCAATTAAATAAAATGCACATGAACTTTCTCGAAAAGTTCGAAGACTAAGAAAGACAAGCAGAGTCAATGGATTACCAATAACACCACCGATAAAAATAAAGAAACCCACATAAATAACCACTTGTTGAGAAGCAAAATTAAGTGATGAAATAGTAGAATTTGACATTTTTAAGTAAAATATTTGGATTCTTTTTAATATAATGATAATATGTTAATTTGTTTCCATTATATATATATAATATCTATATCTTCCAGATAAATAAAATGTCATTGACGTATATAAGCATGCATCTACCTATCGGCATTCAGTCCTAACAATTTAATAAAATAGATAATGAAAATTTATATAGAACATTTTGTGTTGAAGTAGTTTAAAACGAGAAATTAAAAAATTATCTTGCATAAATATCATAAAGAATATTCTGTCAAAACAATATTAAGATTTGAAATAATACTTTAATATTTCAAGATCAGTACACAATTATAGAAGAATATCTCCCTTGTATTTATCCATTGAATTTAGATATAAGAGACTACATTTTAATATTTGATAAAATGATATATAGAATAGTTTCCGTTATGGCGAAATTGAGTTTTGTGCAAAATGTAATATTAATCGAAGAAGAATACAATACAATTGTAAGGATAACACTTAGATATAGATTCTAAAAAAACGTCTTTCTCATTATATGTTATATGAAAGTTGATTTCAACGGAAGGGATGTTTGTGTATTATGAATATTGCTGCAAGTCATTAATAAATAAAATTCTAAAAACATGTGATCTACGTCACAAAATAAAAATAGTTTTATGTCAATTTACAATTATTCAAACAACAAATAATTAGTAAACGATGCAACCCTGACAATATTGCAGTCGGATAATAATTAAGATTCTAATGAAAGTTTGTCGCTTTTCCTTTTATTCTTTTGATATGTGACATTGAGTGCCATAATGCGTTTTTGTAAAAAATATCAGTAAAGAAACAAAATGAAATATCTGTTTTTTCATGAGAAGTGTGCACCTTAATCAACAGTGATTTCTACATGATAAAACAATGAGAAAATTGAAAAAAATTAATAAAAAATCAGATTTAAATATGTCAAAATTCAATTAAAATGTAAGAGAAAAAATGATTTTAATCGGTTTTCGTGGTTTGTACTCCATTGAAATATTGATGAAGTAATACTTATAGACTTCAAGCAAAGATCGTCGATTTGAAGGTGTGCGTGTGAGCGTTCTATTTATCTTGTACGCATACCCACATCCATCTCTGTCGTCTTTCTACATGTAGCGAAAGCAAAAGAAGAAGAAAAATCTTCTATCATTTGTTGTCAGTATCTGTAGAAAAAAAAGAAACTCCATGGGAGTAGTCAATCGTTGAATAAACATTTACAGGTGTATATATACACATTTTATTTCACAATCTTCTACTTTCAGTTATAATCATTAAAAAACAATGACAACGAACGAGAAAGCAAACGTCCTTGAAGAAGAAAGTCCAAATGTTGACAACAATGTTGTTCTTGAATTACAACCAATGAACAACAAAGCAGATGTCTTCAGCAATATCGTTTTACAGTTGCCGACAGCAAACAAGGAATCATTGAAAAACGCTCCTTATTCTTATAAAACCTTAATATGGATGGGATATTTTAGTTTACCTGGTGTACTTATTGCTTTGAGCTTTCTGGCTGCTTTTCTGAGTAGGTAATAATACTACGCATAATCGTATTTGAAGCTGATTTATTACCGAAGTCATTGATTCCTTACGAGTTGCAAACTATTCAAATTATAAAATTTTGTTCTGCGTCTACTGCAACTCCATATGAAACTCTCTATATAGGTATTTACAGCCTCATGACCAATCATCCTAAAGTAGGTTTATTGATTCAGAGTTCCATAAAAAAGATCTGTAGAAATATCATAGTTCATCGCAAGAGTCAGAGTGTTTATTCAATTCCGGTTTAGAGAAATCAAATAAATGATATGACTCCCGTAGCTTAATAAAAGCAGGCAAAAGTTCGGTTCTTCCGAAAACAATTTGCCCGTGAATACTCAGTTACAAATATCTCACTTTATGTTACGATTTGAAAATGGTTGAAAAATAGAGATGATGATATTATTTTTGTTATCTTGATATTTAATTTTTCTTTTACAGTCACCCTAGTGATTATCAGTCGACTATACTCAAAAGACTGTCCCATTAATCCAAAGATACCGAATTATCTTGTTTGGGATAGCTCTATAGCACTTTCAGCTGTCATATTACTCCCTGTTCAAGGTTTTATAGCAGCTTATTTTATCAAAACAGCCACTGAGGACAATGGCAGGACTTATCGTATTGGTCTTAGTTTAAGTGCTATCGCAAATATACTGTTCTGGCTCTTAGTTTGTGTACTTGCAGACACCTTTTGCGCACACTCAATGATATTAGAGACATGGAAGAAAGTACAATACATTGAACCGGCCCTGCCTAGTTATTGCCATCCGACATTATATCGATTTACATATTGTCGGGCATTCTTGACATTCGGTGTACAACTTATAGTAATTGATACAATAAGACGTAAGTGGCTCCGTTGAATGCCATCAACCGAATCATAAAAAACCTTATCACACAAAACAATTTCATACACGTCTCCACTCTCTGCTGTTCCTGCTTATCTTTTAATTTATTATACATATATCATCATACGTGCTTCAATGTGTCTTTTGTTTCTTTACTCGTATCATGTTTACTAACGCTTTCTATTTTTCTTTATTTATTGTGTGCTATAATTAGAAATAAATTTTATGATTGAATACTATCGTTTTTATTTCATGAGGTTCAACTTTGCTAGTATATGTCTTATAACATATCTTGAGGGTATGGGTGTTGATGATGTAATGAGAAGAATACCCACA